CGGAGGAAGGCAAACCCGACGGCGATCAAGTTGGCGGATGGAAAGACGCAGCAACTTCTCGACCGTTACATCGAGACCGTACCGGTGTACTTCGCACCTCATGCATGCGAACCGGTCACGTTCGACATCTTGGACACGGACTTCGATATCATTCTGGGAATGCCTTGGCTTGCAAGTGCGGATCACACGGTCAACTTTCACCAGCGGACTCTCACCGTTCGCGACGCCTTCGGCGCCGAGGTGCCGTGTACTATTCCTATTCCGCACCCTTCGATCCGGTGCTAAGTCGTGACGGCCAAATCGTTCCGAACTACATGTGTATATGAGCAACCCGAAGAGATAGGCCTATGTTTCTTGCGGACTAGCGCGGTAGCCGACTCTTCACCATCGGACTTGTCTTCGGACCCCCGCGTGGTTTGGCTGCTTGATGAGTTCGCCGACATCTTCGAGTCACCTACCGGTGTGGTGCCGGATCGGCCGATCTCTCACGAGATCATTCTTGAGGCCGGTGTCGTGCCGCCGAAAGGTTGCATCTATCGGATGAGCGAGGAGGAACTGAAGGTCCTTCGCGCACAACTCGACGACTTGTTGGCCAAGGGCTGGATCCGCCCTAGCAGCTCCCCATATGGAGCACCAGTTCTCTTCGTAAGGAAGAAGAACAAGGATCTACGTCTGTGCATCGACTACCGCAAGCTCAACGCGCAAACTGTGAAAAATGCGGGGCCTCTCCCTCGTATCGACGATCTTCTTGAGCGACTGGGCGGTGCTAAGTTCTTTTCCAAGTTGGACTTGAAGTCGGGGTATCATCAGATTTCGATACGCCCGAATGATTGCTACAAGACCGCATTCAAGACGTGGTATGGGCATTTTGAGTGGGTGGTCATGCCTTTTGGCCTCACCAATGCCCTGGCAACCTTCCAGGCGGCCATGACCCACGAGTTCCGTGCTATGTTGGATCGGTTCGTGCTGGTCTACCTAGACGACATTCTCGTCTACAGTCGGACTCTGGAGGACCATCTTGAGCATCTTCGACGTGTGTTGGAGACGCTCCATCGTGCCAAGTACCAAGCCAACCGCGACAAGTGCGAGTTTGTCCGGCAAGAGCTTGAGTACTTGGGCCATTTTGTCACACCAGAGGGCATCAGCCCGCTATCGGAGAAAATTCAAGCCATCCAGGAGTGGCCGGAGCCGCGTAACGTCACGGATGTCCGTTCGTTTCTTGGTCTTGCCGGCTACTATCAGCGCTTCATCAAGGGCTATTCGAAGATCGCGGCCCACTTGACCAAGCTTCAATGCGAGGATCGGCCGTTTGACTTCGACGAGGATGCGCGGGAATCTTTCTTGGCTCTCAAAGCTGCACTTTTGTCAGCGGAGGTCTTGCGAATCTACGACCCGCTATTGCCTATACGCGTCACTACTGATGCGTCCAGCTATGGTATTGGCGCTGTCCTCGAGCAACACGATGGCGTGGACTGGCACCCGGTCGAGTATTTCAGCAAGAAGGTGCCCGCCGTGCACTCTATTGATGACGCGAGGAAGAAGGAATTATTGGCCTTYGTACACGCACTCAAGCGCTGGCGGCATTTCCTTCTTGGTAGACGGCAGTTCYGATRGGTAACGGACAACAATCCSTTGGTCTTTTACAAGACCCAGGACACARTCAACAGCACCATTGCCYGGTGGAYGGCCTTCATTGACCAGTTTGACTTCTTCSCCRATCACATTCCGGGCAAGTCAAACCGTTTTGCGGATGCTCTTTCACGACGTCCGGACCATTGCACCGTCGTCTACTCGACTTTCGAGATTGATAACGACTTGCGGGACAATTTTATCCGCGGCTACCAGGCCGACCCCGAGTTTCGCGACAAGTACGCAAATTGTTCCTCGCCCAATCCGGCACCTTCTCACTATCGGATCCAGGAGGGATATTTGCTTGTCCCCTCGCGGGGGAAGGATCTTCTTTGCATACCGAGTGACCCTCACTTGCGTACACGGCTTCTTGGCGAGCTCCACGATGCTCCCGCCACCGGACATTTTGGCGTCAATCGAACGATTGGCCGACTTCGCGAGCGATTTTGGTGGCCCGGTCTTCTCGACGACGTCACACGCTACTGCGAGTCATGTGAGATTTGCCGACGTTGCAAATCCCGCAATCATCGTCCGTATGGCGAGTTGCGACCACTACCAGTTCCCTTGCGCCGACGAGAGGCGATTGCCATGGATATCACTTGGCCATTCCCCAAGCACAAGACCGGTGTGGATGGGATTCTCACGGTAGTCGATCGACTCACCAAGTTTGCCATGTTTTTGCGTTGTCGCTATCATGCCAAGGCACCAGAGTTGGCCGAGGTTCTCTACGCCGGTTGGATTCGAACCAAGGGTTACCCCAAGGAAATCGTCTGCGACCGCGACACTCGGTTCATGTTTGGTTTTTGGTTGGCGCTCACCAAACGATGGGGCTCATCTCTCAAGCCTAGTTCAGCTCGCCACCCTGAAACAGATGGCCAGACGGAGAGGGCGCACCAAACGGCACAGGTTCTCCTTCTTACTCTCATCCGTCCCGATCAGAAGGATTGGGTTGAGCGGCTGCCGGATGTCGAATTGGCCTACAATTCGTCCATCCACCCGGCTATTGGGATGTCGCCTTTCGAGTTTGAGCATGGCTCTCCGGTCACTTCTCCGTTGGACACCATCGTTCCACGCACGGCCGAGAGCGACGACCATCTCTTTTTCTTGCGTCGGATGCAAGAGCTTCTTGTCAAGGCACGCAATCAGATGGCAAAGACGCAGCAATGCATGAGCCAGCAGGCCAATCGCCAGCGTTTTCCTTGTCCATTCCTCGCCGACGACCTCGTGTGGGTTTCCGCCGCGGAATTCAACCTTGAGCAGGATATCTCTCGCAAGCTCCTCCCGAAATGGATGGGGCCATGGCCGATTGTAGCACCTGCTGGGGATGCACCTGAGGGACCTTCCTTCACTGTTCAGGTGCCTGCCCACTTGCCCATCTACCCGGTTTTCCATTGCTCCAAGTTGGCGTTGTACACACCAGCAGACCAGGATGACTTTCCCGGGCGACGATCGCAAGACCCACCCTCTATGGACGACTTTCAGGAGGTCGGTGACATCATT